TAAGACTGTAACCGGTTCATTGAAAAAGGACAAGCGTCGTTTTAGTAATATGGAGAGAAAAGAAAAAACTTATGTTAAAAAAAGAAGAATTCAATTAAGGGGATAATCTAAAGGCTGGTTTGATAAAGAACTAGAACTTGAAGCTAAAAAATCGCTTCTGGAAGTATATATATATATATATATATATATATATATATATATATATATATATATATATATATATATATATATATATATATATATATATATATATATATATATATATATATATATATACATATATATATATATTTAATTCTATTAAGTTTAGAATTTTATTATACAACATCTGAGGCGGTGGGGAGGAAGATACTCTCCTCCTACTTCAAAGTAGGCGATTTTCAAGTTATAGTCGGTTTTTTTTACAAATTTAATTGGCTAGTCAGGTATTTGAAACAATTCACTCGCGTAATTTCAGTTTTGAAGAAATTTTTTTTAGAAGCCGTTCGGTACTTTTTAAGGATTCACTCCCCCCCTCCCCCCCTCCCCCCTCGTATTATTTGTAAAATCGCCTCTGTATCTAATTCTAGATTTTCGTCAACGTTGTCAACGTTTAAACATAATTCATCTAAGTCATTAATTTTATATGATTTCATATCTGATGATTTTCTCTATCATAGCTATAAACTTCTAACAAACTTTTTCCGGTAGGCACAATATCTTCTTACTTTTCAATCTTTTAGTTAATGAGATTGAACTAATTAGGGGATCAGAAGTATGTATACCTCGAATGAAAATGTTAAATAAGTTTATTTCTCTACTTTTTTTTCCTTGCATGATGCTCACGATCAAGTTTATAAATTCTGTATCGAGATTCACCTGCTTCCTCTCCCATTAAACCAAGTGGAACTGATAAAATTATAATAATTTCCCCAACATGTGTTAATACTTTGTGAACGAAAGCTGGGACCTTGAACCAATCATATGTCTTTAACAACCTCTTATATGAATCATCGCAGTATTTATCAATTTTTTCCGGATTAATTGGGTCTTTGCAGTTGATTTTTCCGGATCAATTGGGTCTTTGCAATTGATTGCGATTAGAATGTTATGCAATCTGATAATAATTTCTTCAACCATTTGCTGAGTAATAGAGGGTCAGAAAAAGCTCGTCGGCATAAATTTTCGATATTACTTGGTTCATCAACTCTCAAATTAAATTCTTCAAACATCATGAACAATTTTTTTTCTCAATAAATATTGATCTATTAAAACCTATTTTACTTTTTTTTTGTTTTCAACTATGAAATATGTAAAACGAATTCAAAAAATCCAATCCAAGCATGTAGTGGTGAAATGTCATAGCACAATGCCTTTCCATCTCTAACAAGTCCTTCTTTAAAGATTTTACGATCGCTCATCATCTTAGATGACAAATTGGACAACATTGTGTCGAAGAAGTATTTGTAATGTAAACTAAGATTTTCCCATCAATCATTGAAATGACAAAACTATAGTTGATAAAAACATAATTATGCCTTTGAAGGAAAACTTTAACAGGATATAAATTAAGAATTTCTTTTTCAATTTCTTCTTTAATTTTTAATACCACTTCTTTATTTTCCTTTCTATACTCCAGGGTAATTGATCTACAGAATATACTCTGCGACTATGTTATTCCATGAAATATCGTTTGAATCTGATTGTACATATAGTCGAAGAGGTGATGTTGCTGTGACTAATAGATCCGAATCGTGAAGATTGAAATTATTAAAACGTTGATGGTATTTTGAGTGACTTGATGTTCCGTTTGTACCCCAACTGTATTAATTCATAAGTTTTATTTTATCATTCAAATGTTTTAAAATTTCCTTTTCCTGCAATTTCAAAAGCCTCTTGGATGTGTGATCCATAAGATCCTGTAGTTTAACTTTTTCAATAGCTTAATGGAATTTATAAAGGTGAGCTTAAAGTTTGTTATCCAAGATATATGCAATAGCTTATTCAAACGTCATTTTCTCTTGGAACGTGGTTAGCTGAGTGAAAAGACACTAAGTAATTTGACTAAATTTAAGTCACGTTTATTAAATGCTGTTTTTTGTGCCACTATCAATATTTTTTTGACAGGTTTCGTTTTTGAATCAAATGATATATTTGCTATCAATCATCCTTTGGTGCGAGAACTCGATTCATCAAACTCTTTAGTCGGTCGACCTCTTTTTGCTGATTCATTTATTAAACCCTCTTGATTACGTGGTGATTCAACTAAATCAATTGTTTTAAAAGCTGATAAGCCAAACCTGATTTCTACTATCAAAAGTTTCTTTTTTTCGATATGCTGTAGTGCAACATACTTTGCAAGAGTTAATTTTAATCTCTTTGTTAATAAATTTATTTTATCTTCTCTGACTTGAATCCTAGTAATAATGTATTTAAACCCACTATTTACATTATCAAAAGTATTTTGATAACGAACCTGTGAAAACATTGCACAATCTGTCTTAAATTAATTTCCTCCATTATCTTAGTTTACAACAATAAACTTACTAAGTAAAAATAAACTTTTTAATAACATTTAGAAATTTATGTGGTATTTGGTCACTATTGACCAAATACCACATAAATTTCTAAATGTTATTAAAAAGTTTATTTTTACTTAGTAAGTTTATTGTAGGACATTAAAAATGCATTTTAGAATTATTCTTTTCTTAACTTATGTATTTTAAAACCATAAACACATGAAATTAAAATAAAAAATAGCTTTTTTCCTTTCAATAACAACTCGAAAACAAATTTACTTTAGTATTTCAGGCCTTAAAGTAGTTTTTTTTTTTTACTTTTAGTAATGAATAGAAGAAATTGTTTTTATTCGAAAAAGTTTTTTTATGTTTAAAAAAACATCAATTTTTCAAAATTATTTAGCCTTCAAGATTGCGGATGATCGCAACCACGCTTCTCAAGGTAGTTAGCAGACACTATAGACTAAAAAATATCAAAATATAGAAAAGGTACTAATTGGAACAATTTTTTAATTTTTCACCCAAGTTAAAAATTAATACTTTTGTAATGAATTTTTTACTTTCAATGCTAAAAATTGTAGTACCAACTTATTCAAGAAATATTTTATTTTCAACAGTCTATATTATAACCTTTCCAATCATTCTCAATTTTTCAATTTATATATTAAAAAAAATTAATAAAATCCAGCATCTTGAGGATTTTTTTTTTTTATTGAAAAATCATTAAAAACCTTACTTCAAGAAGCCACTATACCATTGAGCCTGTCACATTTAGAATTTTATAAATTAGAAAATTCTTTGTGAGGGTATTAGCACAGTGGGAATCACACGGCCAAAAATCAATGAAGTGATTTTTGGCCGTGTGATCCCCACTGCGGAGTGGAATTTTTATTAAAAATTTGGATTATCGAGTTTTGGTACTTCTTTATAATATCTAATTTCCTTTTATCTAGAAAAAAAAAATTGGCTTAACTTATATCACAAATTTACACATTTAGAAAAGTTCTGGAAAATTTCATTATCATTCATTCTTAATATTTTAATTGCGTAAATTAAAATATTAGTTTTTGTGGTATTTTCAGCTATTTTTAGTTACCATAGAAACAAGCTATTACCTTACATATTTTCAATGACATACCAATTAGATTGAAAAAAGTGAGATAAACAATGTTTTTAGTTATCCTCTTTTCTCTAAATACAGAACTTTTTGACTTAAAAATCGCATGTCAGCTAATAGCACATTTGTTCCATTACGTAAAATACCTGATTATACGAAGTTATTGGTAATGTTACACGTTAACTGCATACACTATTAATTCTTCTACCTGTAAGATTAAGAGGTAATTATAATTGAAGTGCTTTGATCCATAAAACGGGCTCGTTAAAGAGAAAAAGCTCAGCAAGAATAATTCTCGAATCGATTAACCATACATCGTTTGGTTAATCGATTTTAACAAGTATATCAACTAAATAGAGTACATTATGGTTGAATATGCAGGACGAAAGTCCTGTGAGCAATTTTAATTTGTACTGTTAGCCGGAGACACAAGTTATAATTTAATTCATCAAACTCATAACGGAAAAAATAAAAATTGATGGCAGTAACTTTTAATATTAAAAAAAAGTCTAAAACAACTTGACGTAAGTCACTTTTTTTAAAGCTATCTTAAAATTCATTAAGAGTCATATGTACAACGATCTTGAATCCACTATATATCCATAACGAGTTTCATAAACAGTACGTGCAAGTTGAACGGAAGCATGCACATTAATCGGGAATAGAATGCTAAAATAAACAAATAGTGGAGTTATAATACTCAAAAAAAGAACTTTTAATCGCATTACATAAGAAAATCATTTAAAAGCTATCCAGAGTTAAAAAAAAAATTATTTTTATTATACAGCTAAAATGTAAAATGTTGCCTCACTTAAATAAAATTGTCTGTAAAACTAAAAACAATATTGCATTTTTTATTTTAAAAAAAAAAACCTCTCTGCATTTATATAAAAAAATATAAGCGGTAAACGAGAAATCATCTCAAAATTAAATACCTGTCTTCATGAAAAGTACTTTTCACGTTTATAATTCGTCATAACGTCAAATACATACAAACTTGATCTTCATCTTTAAAGAATCTCGATAAGAAAATATGCCTTAGGATGACATATTTTCTAATTCGGAATTCAGGCCATACCTAGCCTTAGCTGCAACGCCATGCAAATAAGCTTTTAGCCGATTTGAGAATTTATTATACTCTATTTCGCGCAAAATTCGAAGAAAATTTATAAGAAAAATAGCAAGTAACTTTGATGTAAATAGATGTCAATCGATCGTTTTTTTTTTTGATTTCGATAAATCAACTTTAAAAATCACTTTTACATAGGATACTATTATCTAAGCTATTTTTTGCGAGTTATAAAAATTATCAAACTCTATTCCAAAATTTTCCCAATTTTTAAATCCGTTATTTTATTTATCTGGTGAAAACAAATATTGTCTACTTTGCAATAATATTACTTATAATGACGTCCATAATTACAATCAATTACAACACAAATGTTCATAAAAATTAATTTATCGAAACAAAAGAAAAAAAAAAAAAAAAAATCGGTGACATCGATAATAAAAAAACGTTTTGAAGTTTTCAAGATATTAAGAAAGATCACAAAAAGAAGCGAAAAAAAAAGAAGCATGGAATTTTAAAAATAAAAGTTTGTAAAAGAAAATGAACTTAAAACACTTCAAAAGTGATACATGATATTGAGTACCTTTATAATTGAGTTGGTTACCTCTTTTAACCTCAGCATTTCTGTGAAATTAAAATGAAAACAATTGGTTGAGTAAGGGAAATCAACTTCGCGTAAATTATTTTGAAAACGAATCGGTACCTTAAGCGCTGCCTTTGAGATCTTCACAAGGTTCCAGTCTTCTCAGTAGAATGAAAAGCATTTCAGAGAAACATATCAAGCAAATAGCAAAATAAGTTTTCGATTCAAGAACTCTTTAATAGTTTTAAAAAAGATTTGCAAAGAGTTTCTCTGACATACTCGCTTAAACAAAAGATAACACTAAAACAAAACTGTCTTTATAAAAAAACCCACCCTAAAATTAAACCCTAGTTCCATTTTTAAACCTTACCTTAATATTTTCCAAGTTTAGCATTAACTGTACATGGTCTCTTCTTCATAGTGAGCTAAATCTAAAGGGCTATCATTACCACTACCTGAGGATGTTCTCATTACTTCCGTTTCATTAAGACTTGTTTGAACGGGCTTCATATCTTGCGAAAATGTAGTAAGAAATAAATTTTTATTTTGTTCCTCTAACTGCATCTCACTATTTGAATCCGTGTCTATATCATTTTTTTTAAAATCTGAAATATTTTCTTTATCTATCATACTTAGACCATTAGCTTTTTCACTAGCGTTACTACCGTCTGAAGTATTACCATTAACATCTGTTGGAATGGTTTTATTGTCTCTAGGCTTTTCATCATCTATATCATTAGACGACCTTCGATCTTTGCTATTTTTACGATATTTTTTATCACGTTCTCGTTCGCGACTACGACTGCGGTGACTATTTTTTCCTAAACTTTGACTTCTACGCCGATCTCTACGCTTCGAATCGCGGTCGCGACTTCTACTTCTGTGACTTCTTCGTTTTGAGTCACGATCACGACTTCGCTCTCGATCACGACTTCTATCGCGATCTCTTCTATCGCGATCTCTTCTGTCGCGATCGCTTCTGTCGCGATCGCTTCTATCGCGATCGCTTTTGTCGCGATCGCTTCTGTCGCGATCGCTTCTGTCGCGATCACTTCTGTCACGATCGCCTCTGTCACGATCGTTTCTGTCGCGATCGCTTCTGTCACGGTCGCTTCTTTCGCGATCGCTTCTCTCACGATGTCCACTTCTTTCTCGACTTCTTCTCCTTTCACGATCTTTACTTCTTCTATCGCGGCTTCTTGACGAGCTTCTACGACGTTTTTCACGCGAACGCTCTCGCGAACGTTCTCGAGTACGCTCTTTTTGTGACCTTTCTTTTTCAACACTTCGAGGACGATCTTTTTTGCTTTTATTATCTTCAACTCTATCTTTTCTAGCAAGATCTCTCTCTTTTTTTTTTTTCAACCATGGTTTTTCCTTAAAAAAATAAAAAAAAATTAGGAATAAGAAAAAAATGGTTTTAGGTGTGGGAGACCCAGCAAAAATTTTAGAGCGGAATTTCAGTGGACATATATAGACATTTTAGACGGTCTACTATAGTTTTGCTCAATGGTTACTTAGTAGACCATTAATGGCAGTCGATGACTAGTAGGGTGTATAAAAAGTATACTTTTTTATATCTCTCCAGGATACCTTTCTATTCTCTTAAATCCCTTGAGGCAAAAGTAAACAAACAAACATAAAAAAAAAATTAATTTTTTTTAATTTTTTAAAATAAATGTTTATTAAGTCGATATTTGATTAGTTTGTATAAAAGTTTTTGCCATTACGTTTTTTTTTAATAAACTTAAATCAGATTATACAGTTTATAAAACCACCCAGGTCTATTAGTTTGAATCTTTCCAGGCTAAGATCTTATTTGAAAAAGCAGATCATTTAAAGATCTAATGATGCGTGAAATAAGGAACTTCTTATTTATGAAGCTGCTGTTAGGTAACTAATAATTTAATTTTTAATTGTAAATAAACAAGTAAATAAATCAAATAACAAACAAATAATTAAATACCAACATTAATAATAAACAAAAAAATTAATATATAGGCAGTTAATAAACAAGAGGAGAAACATGAGGTTCGATTGAAATGAGCTTCAGGTTAGATCATTCTTGCACAACAAGGAAGGCACTGTAATTTGGCACTGTAATTTGTAGACTAAAAAAAGCTTTGTGAACTAGTTTACTTCTATTTAGCAGTAGTTGTATAAGGATTTCATTTTCGCCAATCTGGAGCCTGTTATGAAGCTAGATACAATTAAATTATATTTTCAAAGTTGACTTTTTAAGACCCAAATTTAACGGAAAAACAAATTTAGGCCATTAATGTAGCCTGAATTTAACTTAAAAACGAATTTGGACTTTTAAACCGAAATTAACTGAAAGACGAATTTGGATTTTTAAAACACATTTAATTGAGAGAGAAATTTTATAAAAATTTTTATAAATTTTATAAATATTTTGTTATGTTTGGTGCCCCCAAAAGATCTAATGGTTTTATCACAAAGTACCTTTTCTTTTTACAATTTTTTTTTTGATAAGTATAGGTAAGTTTTTGTTGCGCATTTTTAAAATTTGAAAATATGTCAAAAGCTGTGGTCAAATCGTTAAGATATTATTTTTTGCGTGGTCATATAAAGACGTGCGATCGCATGCCTTCCTGTGAAAGCCTGCTATATGATAGACAAGTTGGCCTTTAAATCATCATTTGAAATAAGGGAACACTACCCAAAACTAAGGCTCTTTTTGTCACTATACAATATCATGTTTTGATCAAGTAGTCAGTCTAAAAAACGAAGTCTTTTTTAACCTTAGAATGGGAAAAACATTTTTTTTGGGTCACCCTAATGACTAGCCACTATATCACATGTTGGAAAAATACCAGCAGGCCACTTATAGTGGATGCCACTAACAGTCTACTAAGTAACCGATGAGCAAAATTCCAATAAACCATTCAAAATCTTTATATAGAACCACTGCAAATCCACTACAAAAATGTTTTCTGGGGAAGAACCAAGGGTTCAAAATCTTATACTTATTATATTTGCTAAGACTTTAAGGTTTTTGAGTTCATAAAGAAAAAAAAGTTCTATTTTTCACAAACAAAAAACAAGTTAACCTGAGCCGACAGTATACTTTTCCTTAATAAACCTGCAGGACTGATTTTAATTATAGATTGTTAAACTGATAATTGGATTTTTCTACTGGTATCAAGTTATAACCATATTTACTAAAGATTTCTAGTTACAAGTTAACATCGACAACACAAATATTGTGATTAAACTGAATTTTACATGTACTTTGATTTTTATTTTGCTGCAGCCGTTTTTCAAAACGCCTGCTAGGTTAAAAAAAAAAAAAAAAAAAAAAAAAAAAAAAATCAAATTTGACTTTTTACAAAAGAAGTTAATTTAGATGCCAACAAACGCTATTGTTAAAATATTTTTGTATTTGGTTTTTAGATTATTTTGGTCTAAAATTATAATTTAAGATATTTAAGCTTGGACATTTGGAACTTCCATTTTATAAAAGTTCAAGAACTGCTCAAATATTAAAAGCTATCTTTTGAGTTGCTGAGCTAGTTGCTTGAAGATCAAATGATGTGGATCGAGCTTTTATCATAAAAAGAATGAATGAGAGTCTTAATAAGGTAAAAAATTTATACTTATATTAGACTGTAAAAACTCATATATATATGATATGAGCGATTAATACAATTTAAAATTTGCATAATAAACAAATTAGAAGAAAAAGAATTTCAGAATAACTTTTTTTTTCTTTGCTAATTATCATAGAAAATGAGAATTTTAATTAAAAAAAAAAAAAAAAATTAACTACATTTTATAAACAGTTTCTTATGACCTTATGACCAAGCATGTATGCATGCATGTATATATATATATATATATATATATATATATATATATATATATATATATATATATATATATATATATATATATATATATATATATATATATATATATATATATATATATGATATATATATATATATATATATATATATATATATATATATATATATATATATATATATATATATATATATTTATATATATATATACAGGGCTCAAAATAATGTACTTTTAGTACCGGACAATTTGTTTGCTCAAAATAACGTACTTTTAGTACCGTACAAGTTTGCATTTAAAATACGCTGAAAACAAAAAGAAAATTTGTAAGATAAATTATCTAACAAAAAGAAAATCTAAAGAAAAAGAAAAAAATCTAAGCTCAAAAATCTAAAAATTGAAAAGGAAAATATATTTATATAACGTTTTTTAAAAATTATTATACTATGTGAAAAGCTTTGTATAATAAATTATTACGTAAATATATTAAATACATAAGTTATTAAGTTTACTGATTACTTTATTAAATAAAGTGACAAATCAATTATAATGTTCAAAATAAACCCATTTTATTAAAATTATCAAAGAATATTATACGTAATTACATTTATATAAATATATATTTTTTAATAAATTTTTTCTAGGATTAATTTTATAAACACTTTTAATAGTTTTTAGTGCGAAAACAAACGCTATGTAACAAGCATTAAAATAACTATTACAATAAAATTTTTTTTAAATAAATTATAAAATTAAAAAAAATTATAAAAAATAAAAATTTAAAAGGGTTTTAAAAGCTAAAATATTTGTTTGAAATTTATAAAAACCATCGAACAGAAAAAATAAATAAATACTTAACTATAAATTTAAATTAATAACTAATTGCAAAATTTTAATATAAATGATAAAAACCGGGCTACTTAATTCAAAAATCTAATGCTTTGGCATCTTTTAAAAAAAAAGAATTAACTCAAAAAGATGAACAAGTGCCGGACAATATCTGACGCTTATTTCTAGCCCTGTATATATATTTATACACACAAACACATACATACATGACGTATTTAAAGTAAATGGCCTAATATTCGGCATTTTTGTTAAAAAAAAAAGAAGGCCATTAAAAAAGAATTAATGTGTAAAAAGAAAGCAAATAAACAAACAAAATGCATTTATTTTTGAAAATACTTTTTATTCAACAAAAACAAAACTTTGTTTTAAGGAAAGTTTTTTAATCTTCAGTTTTTTTCTTAGAAAATAAAAATAAATAATGATTATATTAAATTTATTAAAATCATTCTCTTGTTAATTTTTATATTTAGGTTTTATCTTGTTTAACTTGTTTCCTTTTTTTACAACCAACTATATTGTCCATATAATTTCCATCAGTAATTATTTTTCTTTTATTATTGAAGAATGTGTTACTTATTGTTTTGTTTATGAGATTTATCCCAAGTTTTAAGTGATCAGAACAAAGGATATTTTTTTTTGAATACATTATTTTTCAAAATAAACAGAGCAGTTGTTCTGAATGGCAAATCAGTGTTGTTAATTACATCAAAAGTAAAGTCTAAAATTGCAAAAGCATCAGAAGCATAATTACCTAGATTGGTAGATGGTATAGCCAATTCTCCCCTAGATAAAATTTCAATATTGTTTATCTGGAGAATTAATTTATCTAATCCAATCATTAGTTTATGACAGCATTTATTAAATCTTTTAGAACTTTTTTTTTTGCAATATAACATGCAATACGAAAGACAACTTCTCTGCTATTTTCTGACACATCATTTAAAGAACACGAAAGACAAGAAAACACATCATTTAAAGAAGTGCACTGAAGTTTGTCCAAAAGTTTGTTTAAAATATTTTTTTAATCATTAGTCTTTTTGACATCACTATTGCAGAATCAATGCCTTCTTGAAAAAAATTTTAATTTTGATAATATGCAAACATCTTTCAATTTAGTAAGTTGTTTCTTACATTTTTAAGTAAATGTACAGCACCATAGAATAAATATATTCTGCAGTTATATAAAATTGAAAAACTATCAAAATCATTTTCATATTCTGATAACAATTTATTAAAAGCAGAAAAATTACTTGTATGATTATCACACACAATAGCTAGCACAACATTTTGTAAAATACAATATGATCATTAAGTTTTATCATTTGATAACCAATTGGGCACAGAATATCAGCAAAACAATTTAAATTTTTTGTTAAATCATTTTTTAAACATTTACTGCTTTGATCATTCTGGCAAATACTTTTTGTTGGAGACTTTTTCTAATTTTATTGTTGGTATAAATGGTTTTCCGCAAGTAAAAATCTATTAGGGTACTAAGTTTTGTCAAAGTTGGTTTGTAGTTGCTTCAGATAATCACTAAAATGTCGATTCAGCATTATTTTAACTAACGATATCTCTGGAACCCATGTTTATTTTTAACTAAAATTTTCGCAGTTATTATTTTTTTAATATGGACTGTAAGTGAGGTAAAAATGAACACATAAGGGTGTCATGGTCTGGATGATTTCATATGGAATGACCCTATAATATATCACAATATATATACACATATATACATACATATATGTATATATAAAACTTGCACTCAAGCACATGCAAGTTAAAATACAAAAATATAAAATAAAAAAGTCAATAAAAATACTCTTAGTTTTATTAAATCATTTATTAAACCCTAAATAGAGTTACACATAAAGTTATACGCATAGAGTTACACATATAAAGTTATACACATAGAGTTACACACATAGAGTTACACATATAAAGTTATACACATAGAGTTACACATAAAGTTCACATGGTAGATTGTTTAATTAAGTTTTAATTCATTTGTGTATGCAAGAATCAAAGTTGTTTTATAGCATGAAATTATTAAAAAAAACTGGAAAAAAAATTCTTGCCTTCATATCTTCTAAAGTGGACTTAATTCTAGCATATCCCATGTGTTGTTTTCCTTGCAAATGATCATCAACGCGCGATTGAGCATCACCAACAATCAAAAATGCACCACATACCTCACAAACTTCCATTTGTTTTTCTTGACCTGCAATCGGGTTTTGCTTATGCTGAAAAAAAATAAAATAATTACATTAAAAGAAAAGTAGAAAGATAGACAAAAAAATCTTTTGTTTATTATATTATTAAATTGTTAAATCTTTTAACAAAATAATTATTTTTCATTAATAGCAGATAATTGTTAATTTACAAAATTTTTATTAGCTCTTTTATAATTTTAAAAATCTACTACTGATAAATTTTAACAGCTCTTTTACAATTTTAAAAATCTACTACTAATAAATTTGTTTAGTCAACACATTTTATCTGAAACTTAGATAAAAATTTGCACTGATAAAAATACATAGTACAATAAAAAAAGTCCCTGATGAAAATTAAATGTTTTAATTAAGAATACTTAACTAGATTGTTGAAAGTTTTTTAAATATAAGTATTTAAAGCCAAAATGAAAAAATAAGAATTCAAAGAAAAGCGATTCTTTTTTAACAAATTTTAACAATTCAGATTCTTTTAATATTTTAATTTTTGCACTTTAATGATTTCACTTCTATTATAAGTGCTACCTATTGTTATTAAGCAAAGTTTTATTATCTGAAAACACTATCAGAAGGAAGTGTTGTTCTTAGGCAGAATACAAATATAAAAATAAATGTCACTACAAGTCACAAAATTTATTGATATTTGAACCTATGACTATTGTTGAAAAAACTGTAATACAAACATTTTTTACTTTTGTCTTAATATTACTGCTATTATAATAAAAATTTATCTTATTATTATTGCTGTTAAAATAAAAATTGTTACTGTTATTGTTCATTCTTATAATAACTATTTTATTGTTATAAACGTAACTTTTATTTTAAATAATACATATATCTTGATTGAATAATATGCTGAAACAAAAAAAAAGTGAGGTATGGGACTATTTTAAAAGAAAAGTGAGGTATGGAACTATTTTAATAGAAAAGTGATGTATGGGACTATTCAAAAAGAAAAGTAAATGACACTAACTATGCAATATCCAACTTTTGCAAAACAGTCATATCCAGAATTTCTCAAATTCTGCCACCACCCCTGGGTATGTATAATACACAACATAGAACAGGCAAAAGCATTGAAAAACTTTTAATAAATCTGATATAGAAAATCAAATTTGCAGTGGCATTTTTAGCAGTTCATTAGAGTTTTGCTTATTGGTTACATAGTGGACCATTAGTGGTATCCGCTACAAGTGGGCAGCCAATAACTTTTTAACATATGATATAGTAGTTAGTAATTAGCTAACCACTTTTGACAGCTCCCACTAATGGTTCATTAAGTAACTGATGAGCAAAACTACAGTGGACCGCTCAAAATACCTATATAAGTCCATGAAATTTCGCTATATAGGGCAGAGCAGGGAATATCGGAACAGTTATACCTGAAGCCTTTTATTTCAACTAAATTTTTTTTTTTGATAAAACATAAATTATTGTGCTTCATTTAAAAATAAAAAATTTATGTTAGAAATACCAAAATGCATTAAAGTACCAAAACTTTCACAAACTTACCATCTGGTAAGTTTGTGAAAAAAAAAATTTGCGTATTTTCTTAAGCGATACAACGACAAAAGATTTATCTTGAACTATTACTAATTTGCTTTATTTATAAAAAGTTTTTATTTGTCAAACAGTATTTTTTTTTTCTTTTTTCAATATCTGGTTTTAAAAAATTATCTGGAAATTAACTTTTTAAGTAATATTAAATTCAGTAAAATGACTTTTTTGGGGCAAATTGGGACAACAAGTTATTTATATAATTGCTTATATTACTACCATTTCTTGATAAAATAATTTTTATACTATTCTTAACTAAATCTATATTCATCAATAAATTTAAAATATATTCATCAATAAATTTTAAAATTCACACAATAATCTTTTAGCATTCAAAAACTATGACTATAAAAAGTTTGAACCCCCCTCAGTTTGAGTGGGCTGCAAATTTTATAAGGCCAAAATTGTTGAACTCTAAGAGATTATTGTGTGAGTTTTAAAATTTATTGATGAATATATACTTGGTTGAGAATAGTAGAAAAAATATTTTATCAACTTGTTGCTCTCACGTTTTGGCCAGGTGTAGCTAAAATTTTAGGGCAAATAAATTAACATACCCGTAGAAACTACTCGCCTTTACAACCATACACCACAAAAAAAAAAAAAAACAACTAAAATAAATAAAAAAATTTGCGTTTTATTACAAAATACCTCCTCTCTACCCTAACCTATAACAGGCGCGGATTGAGCATTTTTTGATGTTTGAGATACCTAACTTCCAGACATGGAGCAAACTCCAAAAATGTATATGTTTATACTTACATCAAATAAGGATGCTTTGCAAAAAATTGCGATGATTAGAGCCTGAGAAAAATTTGTTCCCAGGCTCCAATCATCGCAATTTTTTGCAAAGCATATTTGATGTAAGTATAAACATATACATTTTTGGAGTTTGCTCCATGTCTGGAAGTTAGGTATCTCAAACATCAAAAAATGCTCAATCCGCGCCTGTTATAGGTTAGGGTAGAGAGGAGGTATTTTGTAATAAAACGCAAATTTTTTTATTTATTTTAGTTGTTATTTTTTTTTTTGTGGTGTATGGTTGTATAGGCGAGTAGTTTCTACGGGTATTTTAATTTTTTTGAGAGTTTAATGTCTCAACATGTCTAATAGATAGCCTTCATTTTTTTATCATTTTTAAAGCTTTACAATTGACAAATAACTGTTGCTTTTTAACATTCATTGTTTTGCCTCACCCACTTGCAAAATGAAAATATTTTTTTGTCTAGAGTTTCATTACTTTTGTTGTTGTAGCTTATTTTTAGAAATTTTTATTTTGTTATTTTCTTTTCTTATATCAATAAATTTTAGGAAATTTATAAAAAACAGTGTTAACTATGATTAGTTTATCTGCAATTAAGCATTTGTTTTTTAAGAGTTTCTATATGCCTCACTCTACTCTAATGTTTACTGGACAAAAAAAGGATGAAGATAGCGTTGCCAGTTTTAATGTATACAAAAATAGTTCTACTGCAGGCTTATCTTCTAGGTCCAGTCTTAGCCCTACTTTTAAAAGTCTTATACCTTGCCTTAGGAACCTCAGTTGCACTTGGATCTGTATTCACTGACATGTGAAGTCTGAGGATGTGGAACACAAGGATTCTTCTGCATTTAGTTCTGGAAAAAACTAGACCTAGATCTTCATCCTATAATCAACTGACAATACACCAAGTATTTTTAAAGGGGTAGTCTATACAATACGCCACACAGTTTTTGACATTTTTTGACCCCCTCCCCACTTGTAATGCATCTGTAACACTTTATTGACCCTCCCCAATATTATGCAACAATTTTGTACCCCCTTAAAAAATTAAGGGGGAAGGGGTGCAATATTTTACAAAATACAAAATGTTTTAAATATAATAATGTCTATAATTATCTGAGCTTCTTTGAGTTAATTAATTACTACCTTTCAGTCTGTTTTTTTTTTTTTTTTTTTTTTACCCCAATAGTTCCGTGTAAAATTGAATAAATTAATTGCTATCCTAAACATTATACCAATTTTAAAATCTATTCTTCCGATACATGCAAAATATTATATATATAATATATAATAAATAATTAATATATTATACATGCAAAAATATTATTTTACAAATAAAATTTTCTTTTAAACAGCAACGTAAGCGTGGTCTTGTGGATTATGCCTCCGGCTAAAACACCGAGGGTTCCAGGTTCGCTTCTTGGTACAAGATTACCTTTTCTTTTTAGTTAGTACACAAAGATTGTTTTTTTGTTGTTGCACATATTTGAGCCATATAAATTCTTGATTATAAAGCCATATAAATTCTAACACAAATACTTGAGCCATATAAATTCAAAGCGCAGAACATGCACTGCACATACAGCCGTTAACAGTTCGTTAACAGCCTGTAACTACTTCATTAACGGAATGTGCACATCAACTAAGTAAGATTTAGACATAGTTGATTTTACAATCAACATGTAGATACATCAACTGAGAGTTATGCTGCACCGCAAAATTGAGACCCCCTCACCCTCATAACAAATCGTCACAAAATTGCCTACCGTTAGCATGACATAATTTTAGGACGACACCAAAGTCCCTATATCAATAGATTCAAAGGTAATAAAAATTACAAGGCTTTTCACTGAAATGATATGCAATAATAACCAACCTTAGTGTAGTAGAGAGCACTGGTTTTAAAAGGTTCCTTCAGTTTTTGGAGCCAAGATATACGATACCAGGCAGAAAATACTTCTTAGCCATTAAAATTTTAAGTATTTTTCAGAAAGTAACAGATAAAATTTGTCTCTTGGCAAAGAAAGCTAATCATGTTAGTATAACTACCAACATGTAGAGCACGATGTCTACACCAGAAACAATTAATGAATTTGTAAAAAAAATAAAAGCACAAAGAGATTAAAAGAGGAAATGAAGCAATGTTAACTAATGATAATCTATTATTAGTATTTAATAACTTTCCGAACTTTATGCCGATGCAAAACCAGCTGTCATTGATGGAGAAAAATTATTGCACCACCATTGTTTAATCCTATTCAAGATGATGAAGATGATGTCCACCATTTTTTGATTAAAGAGAAATCTTAGTTAAGCTTGAAATAAAAAGAAACCTAAACTCAAGCATTAATAAAAGAAGGCAAGTTAAAGTGTCGTAACATTGATATATATAAGCACAAACACCCAATAACAAGCGATGCTATCTACTGTTTTCCATACTAAGTATGCATGTGAGCAGTACTATGAGGTAATACAGTTATTCAAACTATCACTACTTATATCACCTAGGATGACCAATGTTAAAAGAAGGTTCTGTATGCTAAACTTAATACATTCTAAACAAAGAAATCAGCTTAGTATAAAAGCACTAGACCGCTTTATGCAAATTTCTTTGGTTGGCCCAGGATATTTAAACAAACCAAATTTATGAAGAGCTAACTGACATTAATTGAGACTCGGGAGAGAGAAAAATTAGTTTATAAAATGTCTTCTCTTTTCACTATGCCTTAAATAACTTTTTTTAGTCTATTTAAAAGTATAAATAAAAATGTTGTTTATTAAATGTAATAGTTATAATCTTGCGACTTCTCTTGCGAGTATCCACAATAAAGGGTACTCATGTGATTTCTTTTTAGTCTATATAAAAAAAGTACATATAAATATATTGTTTATTAAATGTAAGAATTATAACGCTTCTCTCGTGAGTACCCGCAATGAAGGGTACTCATGTGATTTTGCTCTTCTTCATATTCTGTAACTTCAGGGGTTCCTCAAGGTTTGATCCTTGGCCCTATACTCTTTTTAATTTACATTAACGATCTTCCAGATATTCTCACACCTAAGGTGGCATTGCTAGCTGATGATACTACCATTTATTCTTACCTTGAGAAGAAGCCAACACCCTCTGATTGCTTAAAGGGGGGATTTGAGCTTGAAAAGGATCTCACTTCTGCAACAGCATGGGGCTAACAGTGGCTGGTGAACTATAATTCAGATAAACCCAATTTTTTTCATCTAATTGTTATCGCAATCATCTAGATTTTCCTATATTTATGAATGGTAACATACTGGATGAGTCATTTACCCTTTATCTTTTAGGATTAATTCTTACTTCGAGTCTTTCTTGGAAACCATATATCAAATCGATTGCAAAATTAGCATTTGCTAAGGTTGAATCTCTTTATAGTGCTCGCAACTTTCTTACTCCGGATTCTATTCTCTAACTCTATAAATCTCAAATCTGTCCTTGTATGGAATACTGTTCCCATATCTAAGGCGGATCTTCCAATGATGCCCTTTCTTTTTTAGACAATAAAACTTACAAAAACTACTACAAAACTACTACAAAAGTAATAACACTCGTAACTAACTGCATTATAAAAGTAATAACACTATAATAGTGTTATTACTTTTATAATGCACTTATAACTTTGATAACTCATTATTTGTTCAAACAACATTAATAATTCTAAATTTTAATTGAAGTAGAAAAGCATCTAGTAAAATAGAGTGGATATTCAAATAATATTTAAAACTTAAGGAACTAAAACAACTTTATAAAAACGTACTGTATAAAACGTTTGGCAATATGAAAAACGTTACTAAAAACGCGTGTTAATTTTAAAATCAACCAATAAAAATATTCTATATATTGGTTTTTAAAATTAATGCGCGTTTTTACGGACTATTATTAACATTTTTCATAATGCTTTTTATACAGTACATTTTTATAAAGTTGTTTAAGTGTATTTGTAAAAGTTTTTAATAATATTTGAATATTCACTTTATTTTTTCTAGATACTTTTCTACTTTAATTAAAGTTTGGAATTACTAATGTTGTTTGAACAAAGAATGAACTTTAAAAGTTATAAGTGCTTTATAAAAGTAATAACGTTATTATAGTGTTATTACTTTTATAATACAGTTAGTGACTAGTGTTATTACTTTATAATACAGTTAGTGACTAGTGTTATTACTTTATAATACAGTTAGTGACTAGTGTTATTACTTTTATAATGCAGTTAGTGACTAGCAGTTACGAGTGTTATTACTTTAGTAATCATAAGTTTATTATTTTGTTTTTTATAACAATTATTGTCTTTTCGCTACAAATTTATAATAATTTACTCATTGAAAACAAAGTACACAGCTTTGCATAAACTAAAATTTTGAAGACTAGATATTTTTCCAGATTTTGCAAATTACTATTGCTTAATTCAACCCTTGCTTATATATTTTAGGATTATTATTAGAACAATTTTACATTAGAATTTTTTATATATTAAAGAAACAATAAAACTGCATCTTAGAAATGTATAACATCAAAGCATTTTACCTGTTCACGCTCTTCTTTTAACTGTTCTACTATTTTAGCAACACCTTGAGCTTCATCAACTTTTCCTTCAGATCCAAGTTGTTCAACCTGATAGTACAACATTTAAACTAAACATTATTCACCTCTCTAAAGGTCAAGGGAACTGCTACAGTTGAGAAGTGTTAGACTATTGAATGTAGTAATAATAGGGATGTGTGGGAACTAAACTCTGTACTTCTTGTTCATATAAGCATAAATGTAGTGTTTAACCACTACACCACTACCACAATTATCTACACCACTACCACAATTATATAGAGAATCCAAAAAACTATACTACATAAAATATTACATTTATTAAATTATACCTCTTGCAGCATTTGATTAATGTGCTCAGTCAGCATCTTCACTTTATCACTGTCATTTACAGCAAGTTCCTAAATAAAACAGTAAAACCTTTACAGGATGGGCAGACAATTTTCGATTGAATATTCTCTGACTAATATGAAATTTCTCTGACTTACCAATATAAATTTAAGAAATGTAGCAATCAAAAGTCAACAAATAAAACTCAAACAACTTTACCCAAACAATAAAAGTTTTCTTAAAAACTGTTTAATTTAAATTAATAAACATTAAACAAAAAATAAAATATGAAGTAAAAAAATTAATTGATTTTTAATCTTTAATATGCAAAAAAAAAATAATTATATATACAAATTATAAAAAAACTGCTAATCACATTAGCTCGTCATGATTTTGACATCAATAAAATTATCTTTATTTTTTTTTATTTAAGGACACTCGGTGTAGTTAAGGCACTTTTAAAATATTAGAGTCTCTGTATGGTATTTTGTTGACTATGACATTTTCCCGTTAAATTGTCTGGTCTGTGAATTACGAAAAGACGAAAAAACTTAAACTTATGATAAATTTTGCGGTATCATAAAATATAAATGTTTTTAGCAAAAAAACCCAGACCGATGATTCTTTTTTTTTTTTTTTTTTTAAATCATCTTAAAATCACAATCCAAATTTGAATAAGATTTTATATTAATACGTTTTTTAGGTGAAATGAACATTATAGTTTTAGCATGGAAAAATAACCGCCAGTCAACAACCGCCCGAAATGACTAAAATTGCTATTTTGACCTCCAAAAATAAATTTTGAGAGGTCAAAATTTTAGCTGGCCATAGTTGACCGGTTGAAAAAAATCAGAGTTTTGAAAAACAAGGTTTAACAAATAATCAGGATGTAATTTCAAAAAACATTCAAAATAGTTTTATTGTTTACGGTATGCTACTTTAATTCATTGATAACATTAGCAGCTTTTAAAATGATTTTTATGAGCAGAGAAATAAAATGAGCAATTTTTTTTATCTTTAATGTGGTTTTTAAAGATTGAAACTTTTATTTTGTTATTATTTGAAATATCTGTACGTAACTAAGAACATTTTCACATCCAACTTAACTTTATTTATTATTATTCAATCTTTGCATTAAATTTTCATAGCTTTTTTTGTCATTTGCAAAATCATTATAATGAATAAATTATTTTTAAATAAATTTAAATTATCAATAGTGCATCAATACTTTTTTTAAAATTATTAATAATGAAATCAGAAAAAGCATATATTTGAAAATATATTTTTAGTAAAAACTTCATTTTTTGTAACATACCTGTTATAGTAACTGTTACATATAACATACTAGTTACTATAACATACCTGTTATAGTAACTGTTACATAGCATTTCACAAAACGATTTCTTTTAGTATAAAGGATTGAGTTTCAACTTTTACTTTATAATAATTGTTTTATATTAAAAAAAAAAAAAAATTCAAAATTAAATGACTTGGATGGTATCAAACTTCCTTTTTTAATTGAGTGGAAACCTGTGACCGCAAGAATTATTTTAAACTATTAACATTTGCTGGTAATTTGGATGTTAGTTATTTGCATTTACATTTTCATTTGATTTTAAAATTATTGTTTTAAAAGGAATACAAATTTATTAATTTTTAAGCATTATTCATTATTTTTGTATATATAAAACGCAGTCATAAAGAAACAATACTAAGATAAAAATTTAAACAATAAAAATAAAAATTTTAACCAAAAAAAAACAATTGACTGTCACTTCCACGTGTTAGCCAACTTAACCACTCATAATAATATAAAATTATATTCTAGATAATTACTTATAAATGCAAAATATGCGTGTGCAGGGAACACACTAAACAATCATGTGTTGTGTGGGTGGTTTTGCATAGTTATCAATAAAATATCTTATATATACAAATTAAAACCAGGTGATTCAATCATTATCCTGGAGTATGGCTAAATCATTCAGCACATCAAGTTAATAGATAGCATCAATCCAGAAAAACTGTGAAAAATCAAGAATTAACACTCTAAAAACCAATTACATAATATGATGTTTGGCAGAAAATGACAAGCTTACTGATTTATACTTAACTGCCTCTAAATGTAACAGCTGAAGATGCCTTGCCAAGAAGGTATTCTGCTTTCAAGCTACACTTTTCTCAAAATAAAATAAAAAAAATTGTGATCGTCTTAATCCCTGATATATTGCACTTTCTGTGTAACAATGTCCTTTTACTACAAGGTAATTCAATTCTGTAAATTATTTGGAAATTTTGAAGAACTGTGTCTAATTAATTTGAAAGCTTGATATATTCATGCTTGATAATTTTATCTACAACAACAGGACTTGACATCAGGCTAAATTGTCCAGACATTGCTCCAAGAAAATGCATTGGGTAAAATTAAAAGTTTCTAAGTTTAAGAAATTTTAAGAAACAATGAAGTTTCTAAAGAGAATCCAACCTCACTAACACGTTTGAGAAAAGTCCTAATGAAAACAAGGTTTCATAAACTAATGTTTGAATATTGTGCGTCATTTGTTACCTCAATGCTGCAAAGAACAGAAACTGTTTTAAAAGTTTAAGGAACCCATATAAAGTAATAAAACAGTGACTTCGTTATTCTTGTATGTTCCTGATAACTGTTTTTTTGAATTAAAACATTTTCTAATAACAAATGCATACATTATATTGTACAAAAAGATTTTTTTACTATAAATATCGGTCAGTCTGATTATTTTGGACTTGTATAAATATGTATTCAGTATTTATGTATGTATATAGGCTTTGGCAGGAACAAGAAGTCTATAGCCTAGTAAGTCAGTTTACACTTGCAAAATATAGCTCACCCAAAATATAAGTTTTTTGATAAATAATATGTTTAATATGTTGTTTTTTATTTAATAATTTAGTTTTACATAGCTTTAGTTTTACATTACATCTATATATTAATATGGATGACAAACTATTTCTTTTTTAAATTAAATTTAAAAAAAAAAAATTTAGCATGTGCTAAAAGCAAAAATTTACTTGATTATATGTAATATTATAATGTAAAAAAAAAACAAAAACAAAAAAAAAAAACGAAATTTAAAAGTATAATTGAATAAAGTTTACTTGCGAACAATTTGTGTTTCACTTTGTGACACATAAAGTGAAACGCATACAAATGGCTCTGAGTGAGAAAAAAACGAAATTCAACAGTATATCCGAATAAAGTTTACTTGAGTATAAAAAACAAATTTTTTCTCACTTAGAGCCATTTGTTTGGCTCTGAGTGTGAAAAAAAATGGTGCATTGTAACATTAGAAAACTATTATCTAGGCAGGCGGCCTACAAAGCCTGCCAAGTCCATTACTTGTGCACTTATTTAATCCTGCCAAAGCCTGTATATATAAATATGAGTTTATCTACAAGTATTCATGTATATATAAATAAAAAACCTGTTCTCTAGCTTTATTCATAAGAAGTCTTTCATGGCCTCTTCTAATTTTGCGTTCAACATCAGCCTGGATATTACTTAGAAAATGAATGAAGTCTTTTTCATACCCGAGTTCACCATACTCATCAGAGTTTTCATATCTAGATTTAAACATTTAAAACAAAAACAATATTTTAAAATAAAAAGATAAATGAAACAAACAAAAAGTTTTGACACAAATACATTGGTTATTACATAACAATTATCAAATTGATTTGATTGTTGATATATTATTAGTTTAATTAAAGAAATGCTATTAAAATCTATAAGATTAGGTAAAATTAGGGCTGCTATCAATTAAGTAACTTTGTTTGATTAATTAAAAATATATTTACTTCAATTAATGATAACTTAATGATCAAAATAGCTCACCTTTTAATTTCTGGTTTACAGAAATACTACAAAATATCAACACAATGCTGTGATCTAATCATTTAATAGTTTATGAAATTTACTAATTTAATTTACTAATTTATTAAAGTACAGCAAAGAGAGTAAATAAAAAAAAAAAAAAAAAAAAAAAAAAAAATGCGACTGTTAAACAGTATTGCTAAAACTAGAGGTTAATTGAGACACTTAAAAATGATAAAGTGCACCATTATTGATACACTTGTTTAGTTTTATTATATATTTAAAAAGCTTAAAAATCTTGATTTTAAATAATTATAATGTAAATAAGGTTTTTTTTTATATATGTTTATTTTACTAAAACCAAAAACTTATAGTTTTATAGTATGTAAACTGTTGTGGTAAATAAAAAAATGCTGATTTTACAAAATTTATAACTTGCTGATAGCACCTTCATCAAAAAAAAAAAAAAAAAAAAAAAAAAAAAAAAAAAAAAAAAAAAAAAAAAAAAAATATTGTTATAAGAAAAAGACCTGCCTAGCCCTAATATTATTGCAGAAAGTTCCATAAACAAGACACTAGCAATATGCAGTTTACATCATGCCCAAAGTAATGAGGTGAGAGTGACATGTAGCAGGTTGTATTGGATTACTCTAAACATGACCAAATTTTTTTGTTTTACCAAAAACTAACAGTGATTTACTATTATAACTACAGATATTGACTATTTTATCTACTACAAATTTAAAAAGAAAATACATAAAAATAAAAAACAAGATATTTTTCAATCAAAATGTTTCTTGCTTCAAAATGATGATACTTAAAATATACCCCTAGAATTCACTAGTGTCTAGAAATAAATTTTAATTGAAATCTGGTTACTAACACAAAACAGGGAGTAATAGTTTAAAGTGGAATATCTTTAATTGGTTTTATTGATCAATCCTTTTTCAACAATTTAGTCAATCGAATATCTTATATATATATATATATATATACTATAGCAGCCAAAAGTCATGGTTACAGTGGTTTTTAACTACAGTTTTACCAGTTTTAATTGAAAACAACTTCCATAGATTGATATTTATTACCTAAAACATCAAAGATTGACAAGAATAACAAAATAAATTCATATTTACATAAAATTCACACAAAATTTTAATATTTAGTGTGTCCACCATGCACGCGAAGGCAGGCTCTAATACGGCGCGGCATTGATTCTATCAGATTTCGAATCTGAGTAACTGAAATCTGCGACCACGCTACTTCAAGCAACTGCCAAAGCTGGTCAAAAGTGCTTGGTTTTGAATCCTGCACCTTTCTGAAGAGGATTTCCCACATATGTTCTATGGGGTTGAGGTCTGGGCTTTGAGCAGGCCAGTCCATCACCTGTACATTCTCATGCCTCAAAAAATCAGACACTGTCATCGCCTTATGACAAGGTGCATTGTCATGTTGAAATACAAACCTCCTGTTCGCACCAAAAATGGTTCTAGCAGAAGGCAGCATATGATTTTTGAGGATGTTAAGGTACTCGATCTGATTTACAGTACCGTTACAGCGGTACAACTGCCCTACTCTCGACCAAGACATGCAACCCCATACCATGAGGGAACCCCCTCCATGCTTTACTGTTGGAGCAATGCAGTCTTTGTGATACTTCTCACCTATTCTCCTCCTAACCAAGACTCGCCTTGCTCCACAGAAATGCTGAAAGGTGCTCTCATCGCTCCAAAGCACCTTCTTCCAGTCTTCGGCAGTCCAGTCCTTATGCTCCTTCGCAAATCGCAGTCTCTTCAACTTATTAGCCTTAGATAAGAGAGGCTTCTTGGCTGCAACTCTGCCATGCAGACCTGCATTTTTCAGTCTGCGTCGTATGGTACTCGCACCTGTAACGACCCCCATCTCAAATAACTCTAAAATAAAACTGCTGTAACCATGACTTTTGGCTGCTATAGTATATATATATATATATATATATATATATATATATATATATATATATATATATATATATATATATATATATATATATAATAATTCTAAAATAAACTTAGTCAAGTCAGATTCTCACCTATGCATAAATTAAGCAATTTTACATACATCTAAAGGGATTTTGGTTAAGTGACTTTTTATTATTCTTAATTATTTAAATTAGTCTGAAGACTTAAGGCCATTTTGTAAAATCTCTTCCAGGCAAAGACTTTAGGGGTGAGCACAATAATTCTACTGACAAGCTTTTCACCTCTTTTCATCTACTAGGTTTTCCTAAATGTAAACCTGTGTTAGAAAGTTTCCTGCCATGGATGACGAATGCTGGATCTTCTTGACTCTACTCATAGATTTTTGTTTCCTTGATATACAGCAATGAAGAAAATTTGAATTTTTCAATACAACTTGAATAAAAAACCACAAAAAAAATAAAATAAAAAAATATATATATATTTATTATATAGCAAGCACATGAAATCTAAACTTTATTAGTTTTATTACATTTTGTTCAGGTATAGGAACTACTGTGAAAATTGGTAATACTATAAATTATAAGTTCTGAACTTATAATTATATAGAATCTCATACTTAATTATAAAGAACTAATTCTTTTAATTTAAAAAATAAAAATAAATAAATAAAATGTAAACAAATGAATTAAATAATATAACTATGCAACACTTATTTAAGCCTTCCCAGGAAGTGCGTGCAGTTGCACACTTTGTTCGTCCACGTTTAAAGTAATTTTTTAGACAAACTAACCACAGCAGTTTGCATCTTTTAACTTATAAAATGTTTCAATAATTTGCGGCAAAAAGCTAAAGAAAAAGAAAAAGAAAAAAAAACAATCCTAAAAAAAGAAAAAAAATTGTAACGAAATATCAAGTTTAATTAAATAAACAAGAAATTATAATAATTAAAAAAAGTAAATAATTTTTTTTTTTTTTTTTAATTTTTATGCAACTTTTGTATTCTTTTTTTTTAGAGTCATTGTTGAAAAAATCATTTTTTATAACGATTTAACAACACTTGAAAGTATTGATAGTATATTCACGATTTTTATCAGTACATATAATAAAGAAACTAATTTGTTATGTACGCTAGAACTATGGGAAATTTTGTTAATTTTTTTCTTACACTAACTTGTTTTGTATATCTTTTCGATTAAAAATGATTTAGCTATACTTGATGTTTTTTCTCAATACTTATACAACAGGAAAATAAGAAAATAAATTGTTATTTATTTGTAAAATATATTATTTGATTAATAAACTTTATGTAATGACAGAATAAGTTAAATAAAAGAATAACCATGGTTTTTTTAATAAATGTATTTACCGCATTTGATGCATGTATGAAATTGTTTCTTTTATATTGCTCCATTTCCAATGTTAATACGAATTACTAGAGATAATGAATGCAACGATTGGTCTGTTTAAAAAATGTATTTAAAAACTTAAAAAAAAAAGTTTTAAATAGACTCCTAAAAATTTTGTTAAAAAGTTCAGTAGAATAACAATGCACTAGCCCACAAGCTTTTGTAGCATTGTGCTATTTATTATAACGTGCTATTTATTATATGGGATATTGAAAACGACCAAATATTTTATATTTAAATATTAGTATTAATGACTTCTTATTTTTTTAAATGAAAAACTTGTTAATTTTTTTTTAAAACAAATAAAAAGCAATTAGTTTTCTCACTTTCCCGTGTATTGATAAAAACAGTAAAGTTTGGCAAAAACATTTGAAAAACAAATTAAAAAAATGTTTCTAGCGCAAATTATAAAGTATTTCCATAATATACTGACTAAAAAAAGTTTTGAAAAAATTGTATATCAAAAAATATTTTTATTTTCATTATATTCTTATCTACTTTTCTTCATCTAGTATCAATTTTGGTAGTGGAAAATAACTAACGCCCTAAAAATAAGAAAACAAAAACAGTAAAATATTTAGGTATATTATTTTTTTGACAACAATTTTCTTTTTTTAATATTCCATTTTTTTTAGCTTAATTTATTTAGATTTTCTATTTCGTATAGTCTTCGGTTCTTTTCTTCAAGTATTGCTGTTTTATTCTCACTAGTTACTTATAGCTTTAATTTGTCGCAAATTCTTACAATATAAAAACGTGGTCAAGTTGTCTAAAAAAATTACTTTAAGGTGTGTGACCACACACACTTTTCAGGAAGGCTTACTTATTATAAGTATGCACGCTTAAAATAAGCGTACATACTTATAATAATTTCAACCCTCTGAATTAAGAAAAATGAGGTCAGCTATAAATTGCCGACCTGTTAGAGGTCAGCATTAGGTTGGCAAAAAAAATTGACACAAAGGGGTTACCATAAAACATAAAAACAAGGTCGGCAATTTTTTGCCGACCTCAAACACTTTTAAGAAAGCAGTTAGGTCAGCATTGCCGAATGCCAACCTTATTTTTAAGGGTTGCTAACTAATATAAAATATTTTTAGAATGAAAATATAGCTCTTGTAATATCTGAATTTATATCTACAAGAATTATAGTAAAAAGTAGTTTATTTTTAAATTCAAGTTTGAGTAATTAACAGATAGTGCAGTATCCAGTTAGTGCAAATAAATTTTGTAAGATAATTTATAAAAAGTTTTTAATGAAAGAAGAATTAAAATTTCAAATATTTTAAAGGTAAGTAAAACCTTTTCTTTTCAATATAGAAAAAGACAAAGTATTACTTTTCTTTGGGGTTGTCCATAAATTACGTCACACTTTAGGAAGGAAGGGAAGGGGGGAAAGGCGATTTTGTGACAATTTGTTACAAGGTGGAGAGGGGGAGGGGTCTCTGATTTTGTTTAGTTTTTAAATCTACACACACTAAATGTGCACTGCACATAAACTGTTACAGTCTACAGCTGTAACAGTCTATGTGCAGTGCACGTTCTGCGCTTTGACTTTATATGGTCTAAATGCAGAACTTTATTTAGTTGGTGCACTTTTTTAGTGATGTCAAAAATTGCATGACTATTTATGGACAACCCCCTTTCTCTATATTGAAAAGTAAAAGCATTACTTTTTTCTTTTTCCTACTTTTTTTTTTTTTCTCTTTCCGCCTATTAAAAAGTACTTCAACTAATTAAAACTTTTGCATTTATTTAACTATACTTTTAATACTATTTTGCTTTAATTTATTTTTTAAAAAAGATATCCTTGCTCGAGTCTTCCACTATACTTGAAACATTACTTAAAACACATTACTTAAAAACATAACTAAATTTTAACAACTGTCTTAAAAGAAGTAAAAAACATGCAGACAAATAATAATTATTAGCAACTTTTCAAATTAAAATTCTTCTATGGTGTACAAAAAAATAAAAAAACATTAATAGTACTTAGCAACTTAAGCAATAAGCTTGACAGTTGCCACATTCCTGCTAGTCAACCCAAAGTTGTAAGAAAAGACACCTGTAATGTGAATGTTGGCTAGCCACTCTGGAAGCTACCATAGAGTTAAGAAAACCTCACTAGCAGCAAACTTTAGAACTATTTAGCTGAGTTTACAAATGTACACTCATTGGGAAACAACAAAAAGAATTGTTTACCCACTACCAAATAGGCACAAAAATCTATGAGTTGAGTAGATAAGATTAAATGTTCATCATCTGAAACAGGAAACAATGTAACACAGGTTTGCACCTACGCCAGCCTATAAGATAAGGGGTGTTAGGCTGTAAAGTCTTAGCCTAGAAAGCCTTCTAAAAGACAGTAGTTAGATACAGTTTACTTTTAACCTGTATTATGGTTTTGTATAATTGTCGAAGAAATTATACTTTTTATTTGTTATCAGATTAGTCAGAACACATTTCTTAACTTATTTGCTAAACAAATGTGACAGCAACAACAAATTATTGTAAAAAAAAAAAAAAAAAAAAAAAAAAATCGATATTTAATTAAAATTACTTACTCTACTTTAAGTTGTTCATCATGTACTTTAGAACAAGGACCTAAACAAAATTTTCTTTTACAACATTGTTCTACTAAATATAAGCATTAAATATTTTGTTTAATGCTTATTATTTAGTAGAACAGTTTTAACAAATTATTTCAGTTGACAAGTCAACTGAAATAATTTGCATATCTTTAACTTTGATAAGTTATATAGAACCAATAGTTTAACAATAGAATTTTCTGCTTAGAAACACCTGCCAAACGACATTTTTTAAAGGAAAAGTAATGTTTTATGATTTAACATTTTCTCAAAAGTAGTTTAAGTTGTAAAATAATAATACAGCGCTCGAAATAGAGTCCGATCAACAATCGTCTGCTTTTGGAAAAAATGATATTTTGATCTCCCAAAATCAATTCTGGACAATCAAATTTGATCGATAAGAATTGCATGTCAAACTTTGTATTAAAAATTCAAAAACATTTTAAAACGAATGTCACAAAAATCTTAAAAAGACATAAGTAAAACATTGACACTAAAACATTAAAAGTAAAACAACTGTTAAAAAGGTATTACAAAACTTATATAAGAACTATATAAAAAGTATTAATTAGAAATATTATTAGAATTATATAAAAAGTATTAAAATAATCATAAAATAGATGCGAGTAAAATTATTTCTTTGAAAAGGAAGTTAGGATCTGAAACACTCGCTAAGAATAAAGTAAAAGTTTACAAAAGAAAGTTACAATTACAACATTTTATTTGTTTTTTAAATATTCTTGCGTTAAAGTTTTAATCAATAAATGTTTTCTTAAAAGTTCCCAATATTTCTTGTATCGTTTTTTTAAAAAAAATCATTTCTTTTCGGTAACCAAAACCAAAAAAGTTCGATCATTAATATTAGAAAAGCTTTTATAATTGCGTAGAACGCAAGAGAAAAAAACATTTTTGCAATTAAACTTTGAATGAATGATAGTTTGATCTAATTTGCATGTTTTTTTTTAATTTCAAATAAACTTTGAGTTGGAAAAACTTTGAATGAATAAATTTGCGTATTTTTGTGAATTTTAAATGTTTTTACTAAACAATCGCTTATGTTGCAAATATTCGTTTAGTTTAAACTATAATTTTAACTAAATGAATGTAAAAAAATATATTTTATATTATAATTATATAATAACTAAAATATTTTGTAATAGAAATATAAAAAAAATAATCATAAAAGGACGAGATATACAAAAATCATAAAGTTAATGACAATCAATAATGCGCTAAAAATATCTTAAGGTGATTAGAAAATAAATTTTTGTTAACGTTTTGAAAGATTGATTTTGCATAATTGAATGTCCAATAAAAAGTTAACTTGATCAACTTAATTTCTTATTTTGTATGATCAACTTAAATAATTTCTTATTTGTTAATTTTTATGATTATAAGTTAGGATATGCAGAACATCTTATCATAAATTTTATGATAAGACAGAACTGTCTGGCTTAAGTATAAAAAAATTTTTTTTTAAAAAAGGTTTCCTAATGTGCATTTATAACGAAACACTTAAAAAAAGTTATCTAAAAGGCTTATTTGTATTTATAACATGACACTTTAAAACAAGGCCCAGTATAAGTTTTTTTTTTTTATTTTTTTATTGCTTCGGAATTTTAAACAAAGTGGGAATTCTGGGGAATAAGCAGCGCTATCAAACACAAACGTAAAAAGTGTAACGCAAAAATTACTACACTTATAAAATTTTGATACAAACTTTTATGATCAAATACAAAACTATTCGATCGTCTACTTTTCAATACTTATCTTTTCAGCCGATCACTGTTGATCGGCAACCTCTAAATAATTATTTAGAGCGCTGATAATAATAAGAATAATAACAATAATAATAATAAACAAAAAACAATAATAAAAGCAACAACAACAAAAATAAACAAAAAATAAAAATAAAAATATTAATTAAATATTAATTAAAAAACATCAGTTTATTTGTTAAACCAACCATCAGCAAAATCTAATCATCAATCTAGTAATATGTAAAATACATTAGGAAAGAAGATAATAGAGACAACTTTTCTGAGCTCTTATTGTTTTGAAATATACTTAATTTTATGTTGTTCACTTGAAAAATTTTAAATTTTGTAATAAAGCTTCAAAATTCAAAGAGAAAAAAACAATTTAAACAATTTGAAAAAATTGATTTTTAATAGGATTTATTGGCTTTACAAAACCTTTTACAGTAACCTTTAACTTGAGTTCTATCAAATATGATAAAAAATTATTAGACAATAGATTGAAACCCAAGTTTTTGGAACTGACACAAGTAACATTATAATAATTATGATGCAACATATTTAAATGAATTTAAAATAAAAACATTTATACAGTTAAAAAAAAAAGAATTCTATTAAAGTAATCTGCAATGTAAAAAACACCTTATGAAGGTGTTTTTTTACAGTTTTAGGAGCAAAACCCCTTAGCTAGTATTATTTCTAATCTTATGGAAGCATATTATAAGCAGAAAAAAACATTATAGAACAAAAACCCATTCAATATATTAGTAATATATTGAATGGATTTTTATAATATATCTTGTAAATCAAAAAATATAATTGAGATATATAAAAATATTATTTGAATATTTTTTAATACTGTGCTTGGTATAGATATGTTTTTAATAAAAGACAACAGTTTAACATAACAGGCCTTGCAATAAAGCGTTAGACATTTTACGTACAAGAAAGGTAACTTTACATATGGCTACGCTATTTATGCTGAGATAAAAATCTTTTTGGCTAGTAATATTTAAATGACTAATCTAAAAGATTTTTTTAAGTGGTACTTCAATGAAGCAATTTACAGTTTTTTTAATGGTATTACAATGAAGTGAATAAAGCTTTAAAAACTGCACATGACTATAATTATATATTGTTCAATAATAAAATTTCATTTATCTCTGGAAATATCTTTTATGTAACCCTATTAGGCTTTTATTCCACCATTTGTTTTATTTTAATAAAAATAAAATTTCTTGTGAACATCAGAAGCGTGCACAAAACATATGTTAAAGATATTTTAATAATACAAGTGATGGCATATATCAACCATTTTGTAAAAAAAATAAAAAAATAATACATTTTACATAAATTGATAATAAGAAAATTGATAGTAAAAAAATTAACTATTGCATCGTTGTTTCTCTTGCAATTTTTAATGCAAATTTTAATTTATTACTCTGTTAAATAAAAAATAATTGTTATTTACAAAATTGTAAATACATATTCAAGAAATAAAACAAAACTAAATAGCATACTTTTATTCATTTAGTTACAGATGAAAGATGGCTTTGTCAAATGTTGAGAAAATAAACAAACTATTTCATCATTGTGCTCTCCTAAGCTTGCCAGGATAAATTTTGGTTTACTCTAATTTTTTTAGTTTAATTATTAATATTGGGTTTAAGTAAGTGTTTTAAAATAATTTTTAAAATCGTAACTAACTTTTAAATGTTTTTTTTTTGTAAAAATAGTTTTTACCTAAAATAGTATATAATAAAATATTCCGAACAATGCTTGTATTGTATACTTGTTAGTGATAGTGGTGAGCACTTTCTTCTGCCTGCTCGACATATACACTAAGCCCTAACTGACTATGCTGAAGAAAAGGGACAAGATGACAAACTAAAATATGAACTTTCCAGCTAATATTTAATTGGTAGTTAAACTTTTCTAGAAGATGAAGCTGCAGATTTTCGAAAGCTCTTTTAAAATCTAAAACTGATTCAGCAACAGATTCTCTAATAAACACGCTAAAACCTTTTGTTTTAATAAATGAAAACTTTTTAAAACAGCTAACTGCAGGTTGAAGAAATATCATATTTGGCATTATAGAGGTGCACTTAGAAGGTTAACTTTTAAATTATCCAATTTATCTAAAAGTCTCTGCGAATTGTTACCATCCAAACCAGTTCCTCTAAAGATTATATAAATTGACTTTAGCCACGAATCAAAATCAGGCTAAAGTGTAATTAATATTTTTACAAACATAGAAGTAATACCAACAAGAATGTGTAACTCTAGTGTAGGAATGAAATGTTCTACTAAAGTTTCATAGAGGTTCATAAAGATACACAATTTTAGGAGAAATACATATTTTTGAAATTTCAATATATGATTTTTTTTTTGCATCCATCTTCAACGAACTTGTAGATGATATCAATTGAACCTAAGGTTCTTATTTTTCCGCTCTCAAGAGTACTTTCCGCTTTACGCTAGAGATATGCATACTTGCCATATGTGACTGTTTAAACCAAATAGTTACCACATTTTAGATCAAATATTATTGAATATGTAAAATATTCAATAATATTTGATCTAAAATGTGGTAACTATTTGGTTTAAACAGTTAGAGCACTTAGAGCTAGTGGTTTCAATAGTTTGCTAGGATTATCATTATGCTATGAAACATTTTTAACTAAAGCCGAAACCAATGATCTTTTTACACCAAAATCATCAAGACTTTCTGAAGTTGTATTTTTACATAGTGGATCAAAAACATTTATAATACATTTAAGAAAACCCTGTCCACCATCAATCAAAATTCTAGCGATAGTGCAATAAGGATTCAAACCACTTACATTATTCATACAAAGAATTAAAGCAGAAGTATCTTTCACAAATACCAAACTGCGACTTATCTCTTTATCCCCTGAAATGAATGATTCAGTTTTGACATCATAAAAATCTGAAAACACGTTATGCAGCTCCTCTATCTGAGTTGATATATTAGGTTCTAACATTTTCTTCCTTAAGTTTTGTTGCATATGTTTACAAAGTAGCTTTATTTTATTCAGGTTTAGAGTATTAAAGATTTCCAATATAGTTTCTAGAGATTTCCATTATAATTTCTAGATTTTAACGGATGCTCTGCTACATTTATTATCAGGCGTGCCAACAACAGCAAGAAGGTTGTTTCCAAAGGTTTTTAAAGGAAACTTGTCTCCAGATTTAATAATGTCTCTTTTCATTTTTATTTTGAGAATCCCAGAAGCAACTTGCTCACTGGATACATTTCCAAGACCTTCAGCCAACATAATAAGGTTTTTTACAGCTTCACTTTTAGAGCAAAAGTGAAATTCTTTGCCTAAATAGAAATTTAAAGTAGGAAAAACTCTTATATTATTATATTTGTAAAACATAAAAATAATACACTAATATCTAATAAGTCTAATCACAGACTATGCATTGACTAGCATAGACTCTATGCTAATTTTTTTTGTAAACAATAATTGAAGAAACAGTTTATTAACTAAAATATTATATAAGTTATACAATATTTTAAACTTGTTAAAGGAAATCATAATTGTTGTAGAAAAACAAGAAGGACACATCTTTTTAATAATTTTACCAATGATATCTTGATTATTTGTTGTAATCTGTTCAGATATTTCACTAATATCAGATGATCTTCTGAGTTTTTGTCTGTTAATTTGAGATATTTTCTCAATCCAATCATTTAATTATGTTTTGCTCCTGTTCAATACATATAAATTTGTTTTGCAAAAATTACAAATGTTTTTTAAACAACACTCTTTTTCTACATCTTGTTCCCTCCAAAATAAATTTTGAATATGAATCTGTACTGCGGGAAATATTTTAATAAGTTAATGTGATCCTTTTCCAAAGGAAATAAAGCAACATGCACAAACATTTTTTGTTGGCCATATTGACAAAAAATATAAGTTTTACATGATCGCTTTTAACCATAATAATAATTATTTTTTATCTGTATTGCAACATTTTATACCAATTTGAATAGATAATGTAATCATAAAATGATGCAATTTATTTCAGACATTTTAATTAATTAAATGTAAAATCTCTATGTTTAAAGGGATCCCCAACTGCTGAGACAAGTTGTGTTCATATTAAAGAAAATGTTTAAAAAAATCTCCATTTTTTTTTGGTTCTTAGAGTCTGTATAATGTTAGCCGCAATCTGCAGACTTGATAATTTATTCTGCGTGTGTTCAATTCATAACAGTTTCGCGTGTTTAATTCATAACAACGTTATCGTATAAATTCTTTCTTTTAAGATATCGTATTATTTTTTTACCAAATCATTTTAATTGTATATCTTTTTACTAAATCCCCCCAAAAAGTTTTTGATACAATTAAAAACTAAATTTATAAAATTTATAAAAAATAAAAATTTAATATATAACGAATATTTGCAGTAAATCGAACTGGTTAAACAATATAAACAAGATACTAAAAGAATAATTTTACTAAAACGTATGAATTAATTTAAAGTATAAACTGAATAAAAAACCAGTGACTTGAATAAAACATATAAACTGAACTAAGTAGAAAATAAATATTAAACAAATTATTTTTTTAATAACCATACAAATCCAACTAAATTAAAGTTAAAACAAATATTTGTACTAAAATATATAAAAAAAAGTTATAATATAAGTATAAAAACGAAGAATGGCATTAACTTTTTTTATAAAATCTTTTCGACCACACATTTTTTTGAATAAAATTTAAATGACATAATATTGAAAATAAATTAAAATTCCAATAGTAAATCTCTTTAAAAACATAACAAACTTTATATCAATAGTAAGCTTTTTAATTAAATAAGTTTTTAACACGCATCATTAAACAATAAGAAATGCAAAGTGCTTAAAACCATTGTTTCTATAAATAGTAAGTAAAACATTAAGTCCGAAACAAAACTCATTTAATGAAAAAAAAAAAGAAAATTTTTTCTTCAAAAGACTTTGGTAATTACTTAACTAAATACTTAACACTTATACAAGTTAAATTTTACAGTGCTAACCCTGTTTTATTTTATAACTTATAAATTAGTTATAAATAATAACTTTATAAATTTAAAGAAGTTTTTTTTATGAAGGATCATTTAAGATATTTTAACTTTTTAAATGTCAAATGATAACTTTTTTATAATAACACAATATATCTTATTTTTTCTTGATTATGTATAGAATTAATTATATCTTAAGAACAAATTATATGTTTCTAGAATGGAAATTTATGTACAAAACAAGACAAATTGTAAAGCATACTCGAAAGCCACTACCAGAGGCTTGCGGTAGTGAAAGAGTTAAAGGGATCCCAAACTCCCAACACATGTTGTGTTCATATTAAAGATAATGTTAAAAAAAAAGGTTTGAACCAATTTTTTTTGATTAAAAATAAATAATGAATGCATACCGTGAAAAACAAATGTTGTTGTTTTTGCCCAAGCTTGTCTTCTCTATTTTTTTCAACCACTCGGAGTCTTCAAATTATGCGTCGCAATCTACAGACTTTGGCAATTTCTTTGAAGCGCGTTTAATTCATAAAAGTTTTAGTATTTGACGCCACCGTAGACTTTTAACAAAAGAAACTCTGGAAATATTTTTATTTATCTTTAGTCAAAGTTTTTTTGGTTATTTGTTTAGTTCTTTTTTTTCTACTTTTAATATTTAAAAAGATATTAAAAACCTTAAATATTTTATGCTGGTTCGTTGCTATAAATTGTTATTGCGCCATATATTTAATGTTTATAAATTATGAATATTTATTATCTCAATCAAGACTCTGATAAAAAAATGTTTTACATTAATTACCCATATAAAATTATTATCTCAATTATAAGACTCTGATAAATGTTTTACATTAATTACCCGCATAAAATTAGTAACAACATTTTTATTTGGTTAGACGATATTTTGTCTCAATTTGCTTGGGGAAGTCAAACGAAAAAAATTAGTTTGAATAATCACGTCGAAATATATTTAAAACAAATTATTTAAATGACGGGGGTACTAAAGTCTTTTTATAACAAAAGTAGGAAAAAAAAAATAACTAAATAAAAAGTTCAACATCAAACATCTTTTTTTTGTTATATTGCAACTGTAATTATTAAAATATTTACTTTAACTATATTTACTTATTATTTAGAACAACTTAGCAATAAATAAAAAGCCCCTAAAATTATGCGATATTGTGTTAATTTATTCTAAGATCAGAAAAGGCCCTAGGAACGTATTTGTTCCTATAGTATGTAAAATATGTTAGAGTAAAAACAAAATTATGTATGGAGTTGCCGACATTTCAAAAGTTTCGTTATCAAAAATCAAATGCAAAATAAAATGATTTTTTTTTATCCATATCCAATTTAGCAAGTTCAGCAATTTAAATTTAATCAGCGTAATCAAAAAATTTTTATAATAAAAAAAATTAACAGTTCATCAAATATCTCTAATTAAATGAAAGCAATTGCTAGTAATTACTTTTTTTTGACGGAAAAATAAAAAACTTCATAGCGTAAAAATGACCAGAGAAGTTAGAAAATAGTTTTGATTGTTTAATGTAAGATTTAGAATATATAATACTGCGCTCACTTGCACAAAAACGAGAGACCATATATATAATGTTCTATATAATGTAAAATACTCGTAAGAAAATCATAAGATTCGTAAGTAAAGCTTTAATATTTGTTTTAATTTAAAAACAAAAGAAATATAAGTAAGATATATAAATCGAAAAATTATTAGGATATCTGTAAAAAACAAGTTGCTCCTATAAAATAAAAATAATTTATCATTTTTTCTTTTTACAAATTTTTTTTTGCGATGTTTAGAAAAATAATACAAATAAATTTGTTTTGCTGTATGTTAAAAAAATACTACGGTAGAAAAACGGAGCTTAGTTTAATTACACTTTTCTTTTGTTAAGAGTCTACCGCGACGTCAAATACTAAAACTTTTATGAATTAAACGCGCTTCAAAGAAATTGTTAAAGTCTGTAGATTGCGACGCATAATTTGAAGACTCCGAGTGGAAAAAAATGGAGAAGACAAGCTTCGGCAAAAACAACAACATTTTTTTTTTCACGGTATGCATTTATTATTTATTTTTAATCAAAAAAATTTGGTTCAAACCTTTTTTTTTTAACATTATCTTTAATATGAACACAACATGTGTTGGGAGTTTGGGATCCCTTTAAACCATAACTAAATGTTAATTAAACATAAAGCGAGCAACTCTATTAAACCATATGAACTAAATATAAAATGAGAAATCGCACCATACTGCCTTTTTTTTCCCCCCTACTTTTTCTCTGCCTGTGAACTCTAATAATCACAAAATATGTAAAATTGTGACATGATTTTGGCTGGCTTCTAAAATTATAAATTTTATTTAATATGAACACAACTTGTCTCGGCAGTTGGGGATCCCTTTAAAAGTTAGTTTAGATTTTAAAAATTATTTAAAAATAATTTATTTATCTCAATAATAGTAAATAAACAAAAAAATTTAGAACCAAAAAAAAATTAAACCAAAATTTACCCTAGTAGTCTCAAGAGAGCACAGTGTCATGTTTAAAAAAACTGGAGATAAAATAAACTTTCGTGGTAGTTCAAAAAAGTTAATGTCAATAAATATGAAAAGCAAATAATTTTTGACGTGGAAAATTTTATTAGGTTTATAGGTTAAGCAATTTTATTCATCACAAGACCTGATATGTGTATATGCACACACATACAAAACAATAGTGATTTTTATCATTACTGTACTCAGAGCCGCATTTACAGCTTTAGGGACCCTAGGCAGAAAAAAACTTACAGTTATTCATGCGATTATTCATGCTAATGAACAAAATGTTTAAAAATACTTTTTGTTTAACAAAGGTTTTTAAAGGAAACTTGTCTTCAGTTATTGTCTAAAATAGTGACTGTACTACATCCTTAAGATATATTTTATAACTAACTTAATGGTAGAATATATTAAAGTTATAGAAAACTTACCTAGATCAGCTTTTGTATTAGTAAACAAATCTGATGGACAAAATCCACAGAGGAAGAACTTACAACACTAAACACACACAAAACATTAGCAAAGTTTGTTATCTGACCTTAAAACACTTTATCACAAAAAAGGCCCAAAATAGAAACTTCATTTAAACTTTGAAATAAATACTACTAAATATAACTAAATATACATCTGGATGTGACCAATGAACTTGTGAACTTTTTTCTCCAGGTACCAAGTTCCTATCTTTACCCATAAGTTCATCCAAAAGTTGCGCAGCAGTCAAAGCCATGACAACTCTTACTTTAAATCTATGTTAAATCAAAAAACTTAAAGTGAAATCACTATCATGATACTCTGACTTAATAAAAAATGCAAAAAATTAATATTCAAATTTTTCAGCAAAACAATTGATTTTTGAATTAATTTTTTTTTTTTTGTAATAGAACTCTAAACACAGATACTACCATACATATATATATATATATATATATATATATATATATATATATATATATATATACAGGGGTCGAAATAAGTGCCGGACATCGCCGCCCCTCAGACCATTTTTGAGACTTGCTAGATGGGGACAACAAACCATTGTTCATTTTTTCAGTAAAAATGATCAATGGTTGGTTGCCCTCATATAGCAGGTCTCAAAAATGGTCTGAGGGGCGGCGATGTCCGGCACTTATTTCGACCCCTGTATATATATATATATATATATATATATATATATATATATATATATATATATATATATATATATATATATATATATATATATATATACTTCTCATAAATAGGCACAAAAACTTTAGCTTTTATTTTTACATCCAAAAAAATAAATACTACTAAATTCCAAGTAATTTTTAAATTGTTATTCATATATTTTCTTCAACTTTTCTAATGTCAGTGAACAACTCAAACAAATTGACACCAGCAGGCCATGATGACATATCTGATAAACTATTTATGCTGCATGCCTTGAACTAGTCAAAGCTTTAGTTACAATTTTTAACCATGTGTAAACAAATGTATAGTACCATCTGAGTGGCATTATGCAAACATCATACTTCCTAAAATCGATAATATTTCTCTACCAAATCACTAATTGCTGACCAATCACAAAACTTGTGCAACATGCAAATTAGTTGAACGTATCTTAGCAAAACATATTATATTGTATGTGCAAGATAAAATATTTAATAGCCAACTTGGTTTCTTCCTGGAAGTACGATTATACAAGTAATAGATGAATAAGGATTTACTAATAACTGCATTATCACTAACTGCAATAATCTTTGACTTTGCGAAAGCGTTTGATATTGTTGATCACATTATTCCTATGCACAAACTTAAGATCAACCTACCATTATGGTTATCACCCTGGTTAGCAACTCAAGCTTTAAATTTGACAAACAATGGACTAACTTAATAATAAAACTGCCCCAAATAATCTTGCATCAAATACTTAGAGTTGCTAAAATATCCTTTTAAGCATCTCTAAATATTTGGTGATCTTATTTATGCTTATATATGATTACCACTCTAATTACCTTGGCCACTATACCTACAATGCAGTTCTGATCACCTCTAGGACTATTAAAATTAAATCCAAAATGCAAGTCTTTTGAAACCTTCTTAAAGCAGCTAATATTAACTTTTAAGATGCAACCTACTATGGTACCCTACTATGGTACAACCTACTATGGTCCCATTGATAATATCTTAATGCTCTTTGTCGCAGAAAAGAATTTTAAACAATTTAAACTTACACTTTGCCTGCATAAAAACAACCATTTTAAATCCACTTTTAAATTTTACACCAGATCCAAAACATAAACAATATATTTAAACATATATATACTAAAACTTATCCACCATTTACACAATGAAGCAAATAAACGTGGTGCTATCCTTTATTTTATCTGAATACATTCAATTCCTTGTCAATAAATTACTTGAAAATTTGTACTATTAGTTTTTGTAAACTTAAATCAATACTTATTTCAATAGAAGATAAAATTCTAAAATATATATATAAAGGCTTTTTTGAAAAAAAACAAGACGTGAATTAATTACTTTTATATATCTAGAATAAATAAATTAAAAAATCATGATAGAAGAGAAGTAAATAAAAATTAAAGTCATAATATACTATAAAATCATATATATATATATATATATATATATATATATATATATATATATATATATATATATATATCTCACTCTCTATATATACATGCATACATACATATATATATATATATATTAATGTATATATATATATATATATATATATATATATATACATATATATATATATATATATATATATATATATATATATATATATATATATATATATATATATATATATATATATATATATATATATATATATATATATAATCCACAATCACACACGTGTGCATGTGTATGTTTGTGGATAAAGATACACAATCAATTTTTTTATGCATTATACATTATGATGATAAAACTAATAGCATAATAATCAGGTAGCGATCATAATGATCGAAATAATCATGACATAAGTTCTAATTAAGATCCACATGTGTTATGTGCACAAATATATTTAAAAAAATTTTAGCATAGTTGTGATAGAGTTTCACTTATTTTTATATTTTTTATTGATGTACAAAGCTGTTGCACTTAGTACGTCGACAAATGTTCTTTATGACAGGTTGGTGCTTTAATTTATCGTGAGCACTACTTAATAAGTTCATCGTTATCACTATATTTAACAAAGCATCTTGGGGCTTTAAACGCGTTTTAGTCTCATTGTATCCCGCGCTTCTTTGTTGACACTTTTACATTAACTTTAATTATGTTATCTAGAAATCGGATGCATAAGGTTTATTTTCCGATAGTCTACATATTAAACATCTTCAGAGTTTGTTTTATTGTAGTTGTTTTAGACTAAAATGGATTAGTTTTAGTTTTGTTGGAGAATAAAAAAAAGAAGGAGACTGTATTATAAATAATGCAGCATAGTTCATAACAGAAAAAACTTATTTAATAAATAATGCAGCACAATCCATAACATGAGAAAAGTATTAGAAATCTTATTGATTATCTGTAACACGCATTTGATTTTAGATAAACGAAATCTCTATAATTGAAAAATGTTATAAAATTATGCTTCATTAAATTGTTATGAATTGAATTTTATGAAGTTTATATAATTTTATTATGAATTAACTATAAATAATACTTTATCAAGATTCCATAAACTATAGTTATTTACAAAGGTGAATGTATAATTAATTTACTTGAAGTATCTTATAACCATCTTAATAATTCAAAAACATATAAAAACTCATTGTTGTATCTACTACATGTGTTACAATAAGGTCATGATAAAATTTTGTTAATAATAATATTATTTAATCATTTAAATGTTAATAACTTGTGTTATCTTCTAATATTTATTTTAACGGTTTTATATCAATGAATGTTATACAATTTTTAATATAAGTTATCATTATCAGTGATTTTAAATCTCAAATGTAATTTAAATACATCATATTAAAAACATAAATATTTTTTTAAATACATATATATATATATATATATATATATATATATATATATATATACATATATATATATATATATATATATATATATATATATATATATATATATATATATATATATATATATATCGTACTATATATATCGTATATATAAATATAGTATTTATTAGATATAGTTTGTTTTTTATGACTACAGTTTATTATTTTGTATTTAGATTAAACTTATTTAACTCACTTATCTATGCCGAAACTTATGCTTTGTTAACCATTAAAGATGGTGCAAGAATATACATCACCAGTTCGTGTCTATGAATTCCCTTTTGAAATGGTGATGGAGGTATAATGTTTGAATTACCTTCGTTTTTTCTAAGAAGTAGTTATTTTATTTTACTTTTATTATTTTTAATTACTTTTATTATTTACAAAGTTTTTTTTCTTACTAAGTGAGACACAAGAATAAATTTTTACTAATTACTTTTTAACTTAAAAATTTTCAGATAATAGATCTTGAAAATTGAGTTCTTATCTCACATATGTTTTATATTAGAAAAGTTTTAACTTTTTATTTAGCAATAATTTAACCAGAGAAACTTTTTGAAAAATGTTATTCTACAGATTTTAAATAATGTGCTTTATATATAACAGTATATTTTATAAGCATTTTTGCAAAACCAAATTTTTAGTATACAAGTATAATGTTTAAGTCTTCGTAATATTTTTGAAACAGTTAAAAGCAATTGCATCTAATGACTACAAAGATTGGCTAAAAAAATACTCATAAAAAATCTACTGGAATTTAGTTCAAAAATTGGACTTGTAGAAAAATTGCCACAATAACTAAGATTTTATAATGTCACTAGGTTGCAACTAGAGGTACACTTCTCTGTGTCTATGCATAAATCAGTTCATATATGTACACTTTAACGCATTTAAAAAAGGTAAAGAAAATAAAAACAAATATTAAGTTAAAACAATTAATAAATAAAATCTATTCTAAAATGTATTCTAAAAAATAGAGTGCTCAATGTTTTTAAAAGAACAGAGCAATAATAAATTAGTAGAAAATCTTCAATTTTCAACTGTTTCATCAATAAAGACTTTTTTACACTGTGTTTTAATAAATACTCATCAGAAATGATTCTTATCTTATGTCTTTGGGATTAGTGATCAACCTTTGGAGTTAAGAAAAATGAGCAATAAATTGCTAACCTCAAACTCTTAGGTTTCAGCATCAGGTCGGCAAAAAAATTTGCAGTTAAAGGTCAGCATCAGCTCGGCAAAAAAATGGGCGATTCCGTGAAAGTGGCGGTTGTAACATTTGACATTCTTAAGCTATTAAAAATAAACCAAAAATGAAAATGACAACATTGTCAGACTTAATGCAGCAAGCAGCATGGTAAATCAAAAAATCATTTGGTGTGTATATTTAGCACATATTGATGTTTTTATATGCTGAGTTTCATAAATTTTACTTGAAGTTTTACAAGCATTTTTATGTTTTTCTGTCGTGGCACTTGTAACGAAAAATCCAATGCTTAAAGGGATCCCCAACTGCCGAGACAAGTTGTGTTCATATTAAAGAAAATGTTTAAAAAAAACATTTGGGCTAAATTTTTTTGATTAAAAATATATAATGAATGCACACCATTAAATTTAAATTTCACATTTTAGTCTAAGCTCGCCGTCTCCTTTTTTTTTGGTTCTCGGAGTCTGTATAATGTTAGCCGTAATCTGCAGACTTGATCATTTATTCCATGCGTGTTTAATTCATAACAGTTTCGGTATGTGGCGTCATCGTATAAATTTTTTCTTTCAAGATGTCATATTATTTTTTTGCCAAAATCACCAAATCATGTTAATTGTATAACTTTTTACTAAATCCCAAAAAAAGTTTATGATGCAATTAAAAATTAAATTTATAAAATTTATGAAAATAAAAATTTAATATATAATATATAATATAAACTTGAAAAAAACTTATCGTAATGAAGAAAATAAATCTTCGTAAAAAAAAATAACGAAAGATAAAATTAAAATAACTAAACTAAAATAATTTTTTTTTATTCAAAGGCATTATATATATATATATATATATATATATATATATATATATATATATATATATATATATATATATATATATATATATATATATATATATATATATATATATATATATTATTCATAAATACTTTTATAAAAATCATGAGCAGTTATTTGTTATTTTAATTGTTATTTTAACTTTTTTGAAAGCTGTTTAAATTTAATTTAAACAGCTTTCAAAAAAGTTTGCTTTTTTTTTTCTTCTCAACAAAATCTTTCTACTTTTCGAGTGAATTAACTTTAATGATTCTTATTATTATTTTACTTATAAAAAAATTTATATAATTAAATAATACTAATAAAACTTTATACAACTTTTAATAATAATTTAATTAATATCATTAGCTACTTTATTGAAAAGTGTTTTGCTACTATAAAAGCGTTTGTAAAGATAAACATGTCGAAGTTATTTGTTTTTATAATAATTATTCATAATTATTATTAAACTAATTTTTCAGCGCATTTGTTAAAAACTGTGGTTAAATCAAAACAAAATATTATTTGTGTGGTCATATAAAGACTTGAAATCGCATGCCTTCCTGGCCAAGCTTGTTTCTTGATTGTTGGATGTGCCATTTATACCTCAAGCAGCTCTCCTCATTCTACAATCAAACATTATAGATAGAGTTTTTACTGGTTAGTAGATTTTAGAGCATAATATATTGCTTTCCAATTAATTTTACTTTCCATCAAATCTTTTAGAACTCAGGGCTTTTTGAATTGTCTTTCTTTGTTAAGATTAAAAATGAGAGCATGAAACAGGCTCTTTGTGGTAACTCCTAATTTTTCAGTAATCTCTGATGATCTTCATTTCATAGACGTTATTTGAGAAATTTTCAAAAAATTTTAATGATGCAACTGTTGAAATTTTTTAATCTTATCTTGCTATTAATTCTTAACAATATATAGTTTTGTTTACGGAAAAATTCTTTCAGATGGTAAAAATTTTTATTATATTTTATTTCGTAAAAGATACAGAAAGACAAAATATTTTCAAATATATATGTATAAAAATTTTAACGCATATATTTTTTTAAAACTCATAAAATTTGCAATTAATTTTGAAATTAAAAATTAATTTGTCATAATTTTGTAAGTCAAAAAGATTTGACTTTTTCAATAAATTATATCTTTATTATAACATATATTTTTTATTATACAATTAGGCGTAATAACTCCAATTATTATAAAATCGTTTGCAAGTTTCGATTGTCAACTTATGAGATCTCTTTATTTAACATTTGTTCGTCCACTTCTTGAATTTGCAGTTCCAGTTTGGTCTCCTTATATAAAAAGGAGACTGTAATGGGATTGAAAAAATACAAGACTGAGCAACTAAAATTGTTTCATCAATTGGCAGTCGGAACATTTTCTTTTTAACAGAATTGCAAATACATGGAGTTTACTTCCGAATGAAATTGTAACAGCAAAGTCGATTAATTGTTTTAAAAGCATGAAATGGTTTTAAAAAGATTTATATATCTTTATTTTTTATTATTATTATTATTTTTTTAAAACTAATTGTTAATGTAGTTGTTAATGTAATTGTTTATGTGCTTGTGTTTATATAAAAACTTACTATTTTTAATTAATTAAAAAACACTATAATTTAAATTAAATGTGCATATTTATCAAATAGTTCTTTGTAAGTTGTTACTTTATTTAAAACTATTTCCCAAAATATTATAAAAATATAAGTAAATGATTTGAAGTTTATAATTTCAAACATAATTAAAAACTTAGTTTAAATAATATTAGTGTTATATTTTTTTGTGTTTTTATTTTAGTTGAGTTATATTTTTATTTTTTGTGTTTTGATTAAATTCTTTTTAAGTTTTTTTTTTAAATAAAGTTTTTTTTTTTAAATTCTAAAAAAAATGTTGTGGTCTGCAGTCAAATTGTCAAAAATTATTATTTGGGTGGTCATATCTTCTTACTGGCCAAATCTGCATCATCTGCATTTATCAGTTTTTTATGTCACTTAATGGTTGGCTACTGATCTTGGCTGATTTTTCACATATCCAAACATTTTATATTTTTTAAATTAAGTCACTGATGGTTCCTAATGCCATTCCAGTTGCTTCTTCTATCAACCGAAATGTTTTACCTTAATAAATAAATTGTGCTGAGCTTGCAACCATTTCTAAACTTTAGAATTCACACTTGAAAATATTAATAGTAAGCTAAATGAGTTTGAAAAAGATTAGTCAATTATTAGCAGTGCATTTTTGTTAAACAACGATATATCTAAAACTATTGATTAAAATTTTTTTTTTTAATGATCAGTTTCAAAACCTCATTTGCAAAACAATATTTTGGATAATTATTTTTCATTAAGGTTTTAATACTCCCTAAGGAGTTATTGAATTTTAGCAAAGAAAGTTAATATTTTTTTCCATTTAAAATCCAAATGATGTTTTCCAAATAATCATAAAAGTATTTAAGAAGTAGTATTAAAAAAGTTTTCTAAAACCAGTAAAAAAATTTTTTCACAAAACTTTTTTTACTGGTTTAAATCCATATGGTTTTTTTTTTCAGAAAAAGAAAAAAGCCAGCCTGCCTCATTATAGAGTTTTAGAGCTTTTAAAATACAAAACAAAATAGTTATGTAATTCTATAGATATAGTATGAACTTATTGTATACTCATTTTCCTAATGCAAAAGCAAAACTGGAAACTTTAAAATAAACTTTAACATTTACATATTTTTTATTTTACATTAGTTAGTTATGTAGCCACATTTCTAATAAAAAAAGTGCTGAATAAGTTTTCTTGCCGTTAACTTAGCTTTAATAGCTGCCATGAGTTCCGTATCAAACAGAAATACCTGCAACCCAATCTACACAAGACCAACTGCTAAACATTTACCTTAGTAATGATATGGAGATGTGTGAAAATTAGTTACGAAAAAGTATTAGAACATGTATGATACAAAGCAAAAGAAACAACATAGTTTAAGGTGTAATTAAATTTGTGAGAGATTGAAAGAAATAACTTTAGAATTGTATGAAAATATGTGCAATTCAATACCAAGCAGAATCCTTTGAAGTCAATCTTCATTGACATTTATTTCTTGTGTTTAGTGTATATATATATATATATATATATATATATATATATATATATATATATATATATATATATATATATGTATATATGTATATATATATATATATATTAGTTATCACCCATATATATATATATATATATATATATATATATATATATATATATA